AACCTTACAGGCCAGAAAGGAATGGCATGACATATCTAATGCAATGGAACAGAAGGGCCTTGCACCAAGAATACTCTATCCAGCAAGACTATCATTTAAATTTGAAGGAAGGATTAAACAATTTCCAGATAAGCAAAATTTGAGGGAATTTACCTCCCACAAACCATCTCTACAGTGTATTTTAAAGGGACTGCTCTAGATGGAAGTATGCCTTAGGCTAAATAGCTGTCACCAGAGAAAATAAAACCACAGAAAAGGAAGTAGACCAACTAAATACTAACTTTACACAAAATAAAATAGCTATCCACAAAGTCAGTCAAGGGAAACACAGAGGGACAGAATAAAACAATGAATATATGAAGAGCAGAGGAGGAAGAAAAAGAAGGGAGAGAAATAAAGATTCATCAGACAATTTTTATAATAGCATAATAAGTGAGTTAAGTTAGATGGTTAGATAGTAAAGAAGCTGCCCTTGAACCTTTGGTAACCATGAATCCAAAGCCTACAATGGCAATAAGTATGCATCTATCGATAATCACCCTAAATGTAAATGGACTGAGGGAACCAATCAAAAGACACCAACTTACAGAATGGATAAAAAAAGCAAGACCCATCTATATGCTGCCTACAAGAGACTCACAGACTCACTTCAAACTCAAAGACATACACAGACTAAAAGTGAAAGGATGGAGAAAGATATTTCATGCAAACAATCGGGAGAAAGAAGCAGGTGTTGCAGCACTTGTATCAGACAAAATAGACATCAAAACAAAGAAAATCACAAGAGACAAAGAAGGACACTACATAATGATAAGGAGGTCAGTCCAACAAGAGGATATAACCATTATAATTATCTATGCACCCAACACAGGAGCACTTACATATGTGAAACAAATACAATAGGAATTAAAGGAGGAAATAGAATGCAATGCATTCATTTTAGGAGACTTCAACACACCACTCACTCCAAAGGACAGATCAACCAGATAGAAAATAAGTAAGCACACAGAGGCACTGAACAACACATTAGAATATATGGACCCAACAGATATCTATAGAACATTCCAGCAGGATACACATTCTTCTCAAGTGCAAATGGAATATTTTCCAGAATAGACCACATAGAAGGACACAAAAAAGAGCCTCAGTAAATTCAAAAAGACTGAAATTGAACCAACCAACTTTTCAGATCACAGAAGTATAAAACTAGAAATAAATTGTACTAAGAAAACCAAAAGGCCCACAAACAGACGGAGGCTTAACAACATGCTCCTAAATAATCAATGGATCGATGACCAAATTAAAACAGAGATCAAGTAATATATGAAGACAAATGAAAACAACAACACAATGCCCCAACTTCTTTGGGATGCAGCAAAGGCAATTCTATGAGGAAAGTATATAGCAATATAGGCCTATTTAAAGAAAGAAGAACAATCCCAAAAGAATAGTCTAAATTCCCAATTATTGAAATTGGAAAAAGAAGAACAAATGAGACCCAAAGTCAGTAGAAAGAGAGATATAATAAACATCAGAGAATAAATAAATAATTTGAGAAGAATAAAACAATAGAAAATATTAATGGAAACAAGAGCTGGTTCTTGAGAAAATAAACAAAATAGACAAACCCCTAGCCACACTTAATAAGAATAAAAGAGAATCCACACATAAACAGAATCAGAAATGAGAAAGGAAAAATCACTATGGACACCACAGAAATACAAAGAATTATTAGAGAATACTATGAAAAATTATATGCTAACAAACTGGATAATCTAGAAGAAATGGACAACTTTCTAGAAAAATACAACCTTCCAAGACAGACCAAGGAAGAAACAGAAAATCTAAACAGACCAATTACCAGGAATGAATTTGAATTGGTAACCAAAAAACTACTGAAAACAAAACTCTTGGACCACATGGATTCCCGGCTGAATTTTTTCAGACATTTAGAGAAGACATAATGACCATTCTCCTTAAAGTTTTTAAAAAAAATAGAAGAGGAGGGAATACTTCCAAGCTCATTCTGTGAAGCCAGCATCACTCTAATACCAAAACTAGGCAAAGACACCACAAAGAAAAGAAAACTACAGACCAATATCCCTGATGAACAGAGATGCAAAAATACTCAACAAAATATTAGCAAACTGAATTCAAAAATACATCAAGAGGATCATACACCATGATCAAGTGGGATTCATGCCAGGGATGCAATGATGGTACAACATTCAAAAATCCATCAACATCATCCACTACATCAACAAAAAGGACAAAAACCACATGGTCATCTCCATACATGCTGAAAAAGCATTTGACGAAATTCAACATCCATCCATGATAAAAACTCTCAACAAAACGGGTATAGAGGGCAAGTACCTCAACATAATAAAGTCCATATATGACAAACCCACAGCCAATATCATAGTTAACAGCAAGAAGCTAAAAGCTTTTCCTCTAAGATCAGGAAAAAGACAAGGATGTCCACTCTCCCACATCTATTCAACATACTAGTGGAGGTCCTAGCCACAGCAATCAGACAACACAAAGAAATAAAAGGCATTCAGATTGGTAAGGAAGAAGTTAGACCGTCACGGTTTGCAGATGACATGATATTGTACATAAAAAAAACCCCTAAAGAATCCACTCCAAAACTACTAGAACTAATATGTGAATTCAGCAAAGCTGCTGGATACAAAATTACACAGAAATCTGTTCCATGCCTATACACAAATGATGAACTAGAAGAAGGAGAAATCAGGAAAAAAATCCCATTCACAATTGCATCAAAAATAATAAAATACCTAGGAATAAACCTAACCAAGGAACTGAAAGACCTACACCCTGAAAACCTCACGACACTCTTAAGAGAAATTAAAGAGGACACTAATAAATGGAAATTCATCCAATGCTCTTGGCTAGGAAGAATTAATATCGTCAAAATAGCCATCCTGCCTAAAACAATCTACAGATTCAATGCAATCTTTATCAAAATACCAACAGCATTCTTCAACAAACTGGAACAAATAGTTCTAAAATTCATATGGAACCACAAAAGACCCCAAAGAGCCAAAGTAATTCTGAGAAGTAAGAATAAAGCAGGGGGGATTTCGCTTCCCAACTTCAAGCTCTACTACAAAGCCACAGTAATCAAGACAATTTGGTACTGGCACAAGAACAGAGCCATAGACCAGTGGAACAGAATAAAGAGTCCAGATATTAACCCAAACATACATGATCAATTAATATACAATAAAGGAACCATGGATATACAATGGGGAAACTTCACCAACTAGTGTTGGCAAAACTGGACAGCTGCATGTAAGAGAATGAAACTGGATTACCATCTAACTCCATACACAAAAGTAAACTCGAACTGGATCAAAGACCTGAATGTAAGTCATGAAACCATAAAACTCCTAGAAAAAAACATAAGCAAAACTCTTTTGAATATAAACATGAGCAACTTCTTCATGAACATATCTCCCTGGGCCAAGGAAACAAAAGCAAAAATGAACAAGTAGGACTATATCAAGCTGAAAAATTTCTGTACAGCAAAGGACACCATAGTAGAACAAAAAGACATCCTACAGGATGGGAGAATATATTCATAAATGACATATCCAATAAAGGGTTGACATCCAAAATACATAAAGAGCTTATGTGCCTCAACAAACAAAAAGCAAAGAATTTGATCAAAAAATGGGCAGAGGATCTGAACAGACACTTCTCCAAAGAAGAAATTCAGATGGCCAACTGGCAAATGAAAAGATATTCCACATCATTAATCACCAGAGAAATGCAAATTAAAACCACAATGAGATATCACCTCATACCAGTTAGGGTGGCCAACATCCAAAAGACAAACAACAACAAATGTTGGCAAGGATGTGGAGAAAGGGGAACCCTCCTACACTTCTGGTGGGAATGTAAATTGTTCAACTATTGTGGAAAGCAGTATGGAGGTTCCTCAAAAACTAAAAATAGAAATACCATTTGACCCAGAATTTCCACTCCTAGGAATTCACCCTAAGAATGCAGGAGCGTAGTTTCAAAAAGACATCTGCAACCCTATGTTTATCACAGCACTATTTACAATAGCCAAGAAAAGGAAGCCACCTAAGTGCCCACCAGTAGATAAATGGATAAAGAAGATGTGGTACATATACACAATGAAGTATTATTCAGTCATAAGAAGAAAACAAATCCTACCATTTGCAACAACATGGATGCAGCTAGAGGGTATTATGCTCAGTGAAGTAAGCCAGGCAGAGAAAGACAAATACCAAATGATTTCACTTATCTGTGGAGCATAAAAACAAAGCAAAAACTGAAGGAACAAAACAGCAGCAGACTCACAGAACCCAAGAATGGACTAACAGTTACATGGGAAAGGGACTGGGTAGGAAGTGTGGGAAGGGAGGGATAAGGGGAATAAGGGGTATTACAATTAGCACACATAATGTAGGATAGGCCACGGGGAAGGCAGTATAGCACAGAGAAGACATGTAGTGACTCTACAGCATCTTACTAGGCTGATGGACAGTGATTGTAATGGGGTATGTAGTGGGGACTTGATAATAAGGGGAATCTAGTAACCACAATATTGCTCATATAATTATATATTAATGATACCAAAATTAAAAAATAAAATAATAAAATAAAAAATAGAACCTATTCAATGTGGAGACCTACTTGTTGGAGCTAGGGTTAGTAAAGGGAACTGGGTGAGCTAATCCTCCATTCTTTAACTGTCTAATTTCCCAGCTATAGCTCTGATAAGGAAGATGTCTTCTAGGAACTCTGGTAGTAACAATGGAGATGTTTAAAGAGTTCATGTAAATCTAAATGAATTTAGAATCCATGCTTAAAATTGTGATTCAACATTCAAACAATTATTTAACAGTGAGTAATTGTACCTATGAAAGATCAATATAACTAAGTTTCAGCAAAATAAAATTTCAAAATATGAAGTTTCTATTTCTAATTGGAAATACATTTACCTGTAATGGCTGAAATAGGTTTCTCAAAGCAGCTTAAAGTTCCTCTCTCTGCCACACTGAATAGATATATCAGATAATGATGGAAGGATCTGAGATCTCCAATTGTCACTGATGTGTTGAGTTTTTCAACAGACACCTCTTCTGACTTATTGTTTTCAACATCCAAAATAGTCAGAAGATAATGGTGAAAACATAGAGTGTCCGGAGGATCCCAGTGTAAAAATATTTCTGATGAGGTGACATGAGTAACTGTGACATTCTGGGCTGATAATGGGCCTAGGAGATTAGAGAAAATCAGAAAAATACATTATATTAGTGACATCATTTGGCAGAGTAATCTCTCGCTTCTCAGTACTTCGTAATACTCTAGTTTGGAGAGAAAAGGAAAACTGGATTGGAGATCCTGGCTCTTGCTATTTATATCTCCATTCCCAGAGTAAATTCCATATTATCTCTGAGCTTCAGTTTTCTTGATTGTGAAATGGAGTTACAGTAGTAGTTGTTCTTGTAAAATTATTAGGAAGATTAAATGCAATAACTAATGTCAAGCACTTGGCAAAGTGGTAGATGTACATTGTCATTTAATCATTATTTTTAATAAAAGTAACACTAAAATGGCACTTCTGGCATTCAGTGGTCATCTATTATATGTCTTTCACCTCTTCTGTCTTGTCAGACTAGAGAGTAGGGGTCCTATCATTTTCTCTTGATTCCCATCACCACCAGAACTCAAGTAATCATCCCCTTGCAGGAATATTTCCCCATTCTAAACCTTCTCATCCAGTGCCAGTGATATTCCTAACTAATCCTACCATATTAATTTTCTTAAAACAGCACCTTGCAAGCCCATAACTGTCCCACATTCTCCCAACACACATATGAGCACGCACATTCTTCTTGATTCTTTCTTAGAAGAAGTAACTCGAGAGTTAAAATAAGACCATGTGGGTTCCTGTGTGCTTAACAAAGCATGCTACCCTAGTCAGTTCAACCTTTCTGAAGCTCACTTCTCTCATTGTCATACAGCTATTCCCAGGGCTGGGGTGAGGACTGAGTGAGATAAACTGATGCATTAAAAGTGCTTTAAAGGTTAAAGCAAGTGTTAGAAACCACAGCCCATTGCTTCTAAAGTCAACCATCTGGGATCAATGCCCCTGACACTCCCAAATTTGGCTCCACTAGCCACTCATATTTATTTTACCCTGATGTCTGAGGAAATCTCCAGTCATCTGTACTATTCCTTTCCCACAAACTCCTATCTCCACACTTTGCTCATGCTGTGTTTTTCTTCCTTCAAGTTTTGAGTCTAAACCTCTCCTTTCCATAAGTCTTCCTGTCACCTGTCCTCTGAATCCTAGCAAGCATTTATTAAATGCACCACAATTGGGAACTTAGGCTATTATATTGTGCTACATAGTTTGTTTGCTTTTACTTTTATTTCTTACGAGTTCTCTCCATTATAAGCCTCTTACCATTGGAACACATGTTTATCTCCTGCTCTTAGTGCAGATCAAAAATTAAGTTCAATGAAAATGTACTGATTATCTACTGAGGACTATGTACCGGCCTTGTTGGAGCTATAAGACAAATAAGATACATACAGTTCCTGTGCTCCTGGGCTTATAGTTCAACAGCAAAGCCAAAGAAATAAACAGATTCACTGTAATTTAAAATGGTTAAAGATACAGGCATGCCCAGAGTGTTATGAGAAAATACCAAGCCCTCAGGAAATGGCTGCTAAAGATGATACTAAGAATTTGAAAAATTATACTTTCAGATGTTTTGTAACTTACGTGTTTCAACAGTGAATATTGGACTTAATGTAGTTTTTGCCTCCCATTCATTCATTGCAAACAGTAAAACCCTATAAATATGGCCAGGAGACAATTGCTTAATTGTTTTTTCTGTAGTATTTGGAGGTATGCTTTCAAAATGTTGTTCTTCTGCATAATCTGAACAATACTTAATGATAATTTTATATCCCAGTTTCAGCCACGTATTCAAATTATCCCAACCATTCAAATTATTCCAATTAAATACAACTTCAGTTGTTCCAACATCCTTTATATAGATCAAAAGGCTTTCTTGCAGAGAAGGTGCTGAAAAAATATAAAAGAACTATTTTAATTAGAAATTTTAATTCTGTCTTTTAAATAATAAGAATGAGATGCACAAATATAATAAGGATACTAATGAAAATTATTACATTCATATTTGCAAATATATGGCAATGGAACATAACAGAAAAATCTTGTAAAGAAATAGTTTGATCCAGTTGCATTTTGCTGTAAAATGTAGCAATCTGTTTCCTTGTTGGGTAGCAGTAGAAAAGAAATGGTGTCATTTTTCTTAAGGCCAAAAGATGATCCATCTGTCCATGTGAGATGACCTTCTTTCTGTAATAAGATGTATGAATTAAGCCAATGTAAAGAAAAAGTGTCATATCATCAACTATGTGTATTTAAAGATTTTTATTAGTCACACCTGTACTGTTACATTTTCTAAGACTGTTAAATCAACCAGTTTAATTTCCTTAGGTAGATTTCCTTCACAATAAAGATTCTGAGGTGGAGACAGAGTTCGGTTTGATTTATTCATTAGCCATGTTTTCAGGCAAATTTCTGAATCTCATATTAAACCTCTATTTTCTAATCTGCAAAATGTGTATAATAATAGAAGCTACATCTTAAATTGCTGTGAGGATTAAAGAGCAAGTGCATATGAAGGGCTCAACACAATGCCAGACATAGAGTCACATATTCTTAAGTGCTAGGTACTTATCTGAAGTCATCAAATAAGTCATATGCATCAAGGGAGGCTGAAGATACCTTTCTGATGAGGGATGTCACTGGTGACTATCATAAACCTCAATTCTCACATATACTGAATATATGCCTAGATACTCCTGTGGCTACCCTTCCTGAAAGGAGCAGGTGGAAAGTATAAACTTTAACAAAGACACACCCATAAGGCATTTACTATCTATTCCTGGACAGCTGCTAACCTCCTAGAAACTAAATTCTCCCACTGTACAGTAGAGATCATCATAACTACTGCACATGCTTGTCAACCATGAGCACATATGAGAGTTATGTATTCCAAGCACCAGGTACTTAGCTCCTCAAAACATTAATTCTTATAAAGATGACGCATGTCATGAAAACAAACACTATGTCTATATTCTGACTGCTTTGCTGTGCCACTGGCACAGCACCAAGCTCGTTGCACAGATGAGGACTGGAGACCTGCTACCATCAGACAATCTAGAGAGATTTTAAAACAATGCATTGCAGTTCCACCTCCCAGAATGGAGGGACGTTGTTTCCTCAAAGAGGATTGTACTGCACTGCATTGTACTGCTGTATTGCACTTATGGTTTTGCAGTTTTGAAAACAGAGTCTCAGAAGCAGTATGTTTAAGGGGTCAGGGCATGAGTGTGGATCAGGCAGATGCAGGTTCAAGGCCTGGCATGGAGATTTATTAGTTACGTGATCCAAGATCTTTCTGAGCTCCATTTTCTGTATCTATAAGCTGAGAACAATGACAATGCCTACCTCAAAAGGTTGTTGTAAGAACTAAATGGGAGTTATCTATGTAACCCTCCTGAAGTGGAATATAGGAACTATTAATATTTCATTCACTATGTTCCTGCTGAGTGCCAGGCCCTGACTGGAAGCTGGAAAGCAATGGTGGAAAAGACACAGCATTTACCCTGCGGGCCTGATAACAAACACACCCATTTAGCATGGGTAAAAGGACTGATTACTTTCTCAGCCCACCACAGGGATTATAACCAGCAGGGGACCTTGATGTCAACCTCCAGAAACCAGCTTAATACAGGGCCATAGTGGACAGTGTTTAAGAGCAAATCTGATGCATGTTCACAGAGGCAAGTTAACCTTCCTGTTCCCCTGTTTCCTCATATGTCGTACAAGTAAAGCACAAAGATGATACTCAGTATTTAAGACATGATAGGACTCAGCTATTACTATACAGGATTATATAATTGATATATATATTATAGATTATATTAGATTGATATATATATATATTATAGATTGATAATTCATTTACTTCCCAAGCTATTTTTTTAGATTGATAATTCATTTTAGATTTTTAGATTGATAATTCATTTACTTCTCAAGCTATTTTTAGTTATTTTGAAAGCAGAGAGTATATCCTAGACACCTTTTAATAATTCACAGCAACCATGAGGATGCCTTGGAAATCCTCACTTTGGTTATCATGACCATACGACCCAAACCTTATAACAGATACCAGCAGCCAAAGTATTGGAAGAGTACATTCTAACTTAAGCAGTTTATAACAATCATGCTAACAGCAGGAAACAGCTATACATGCACAAACTGGCCTACAGGAAAGAGACTGGCGTGGTGGCAGGAGGCTTTCTGAGATGTCTGAGATCTCTGAGTTTGAGAAATATTTATCAGAACTTCATTCACTGCCTTTTAATAAAAGATAAAGGAATCTTAGTAAGAGAATGATAAAATGCCATTGAAGCTTGTCAATCGTTTTTTTGAAGCTTACGCAAAGATCCATGGCAAAACTGGTATCAGACTGATGGCATGTGCCTTGAGTCACCACAGATCAGGCTATCGAACAGAGAAAAGATTTAGTTTTGAATGGCAGGAAGTAGGTGTATATGGACTGTTAAGAAAAAAATGCAGATGCGACAGAGATAATTATGTTAGGGCTTGGGTTTTCCTGCAAAACATTGACCAAAATGAAATTTCATGATAGTCCATAGTGATAGGGATGTTGGAGAAAAATGTCCCACGCACACCTTATTTCACTGGTATTGATAGAATCATCAGATCTTTATCTCTTTCAGGAAATGGAATTTCATAACCCTGGATATGTGGAGTAAAAGGAATAACATGGAGAAAACTTTGGTGTTTTCAGGCTCACATTACTGTATTATTCAAAGGTGAGAAACAGGGTATGTGGAACAGGTTTGTTGAAAAGGAGAAGACGAGACAGTTGGAACAATGTTGAAGAGCTTACAGAATATTCCAGATTAAGAATTAGAAGAGAAGTAGATAAGATGTCTAGAGCTCATAAGAAGAAAGTGGGCTAGATAAATATTTGAGAAGTAGACTGCATGTTAAGTAAGTGAAGAAACAGATAAGATCACCCAAGTTAGAGCAAAATTAGACAAAGAAATAGATGTCTACAAAAGAGATTGAAGAGGGTAGGGTAGGGGTGAATGGGCAGAGCAGAGGATATTTAGGGTAACAAAAATATTCTGTACTATACCTTAATGATGGATATGTGTCACTATAATTTGTTCAAACCCATAGAATGTACAACACCAGGAGTGAACCATAATATAAACTATGAACTTGGGGTGATTATGATGTGTCAACATAGGTTCCTTGGTTGTAGCAAATGTACCACTCAAATAGGGAATGTTAACAAGGGCGTAGGTTATGTTTGTGTAGAGGCAGGGGGGTGTATGGGAAATCTCTGTACTTTCCCCTTAATTTTGCTGTGAACCTAAAACTGCTGTAAAGGAAAGAGAGACAGAGAGAGAGGCAGTGGGGGGACTGACACAGAGAAATAGAAAAAGGAACCGTGTCAGACTTATGAGAAGTACAGAATAAAAATTTATTTAATGACAGAAGGAAGAAATAAAGAAAGAAAGAACAAAAGAAAGGAAGGAAGGAGAGAGGGAGGGAGAATCAAGAAATAGATAAAATAGCTTTATAATGATATATTCATGCATTTATATTTACTTACCTTCAAATCATTAAGACCAGTCCATGTTATTATTTGATTCTTCGACCTGAGAAGTGAAAATACGAATTTTTTTTCCTCTTCATTTTTTATTTCCACAAGGTTTGCAAAACTTAAGGGTAACTTACAACGTTGCTGGGCTATATTCCACGGCACACGGTCTTTGCTAATTCTGTAACAGCTATTTTTTAATGCTACCCATCCCTGTGCACATGAACCTACCAAAAGAAAGATGCTTAGTTACAGATAAATTCAGGAATATAACATTTCATAATTAAATTTCTTAACATCTATAGAACCTAATTATGAAAACTCATAGTATTAATTGTGCATTTCCCTGTATTTCTCCCAAGCAAATGCTAAGGCTGTTATTATTCAAGTAGTAAATGAATCACAACCAATTAAAATAGTTTTAAGTAGCTGTAAAAATTAATTATGCAGAATTTTTGTCCAATTGTAACTTAATTAAAACCAAACTAGAGATGTTTTTCTTCCTAAACTACTTCAAGTTGCCCTTCTTTTCCCATAGTCTTGTAGTAGTAGAGAACTATTATTTCCAGTTTCTTTTTATTTCAGAGAACCAGATAATATTGCTTGCTAAGAGTACTCCATCTTGCCCCTTGGCTTGAAATGGGTTCACCTTCCAGAAAAAAACAAAAACCAAAAAACTGGAATGGCTACTTAGTCTTTTTCTCAAAGATGCACATCACAGGGAAACAGAAAAATATCAGCCTGTTCAGAGTAGATATTCTACTTTAACTCTTGTTTATACTTCATCAGTGCCGGACATATTAAGAAGACGTGCAAAGGCCCTTCTGAAGAAACTGTTGTCATTTTTTCTCAGGGATAGGAGACTAATGGGGAGAGGGGATGATTTAATTACCTCATTATCTTTTCCTTACTATTCAACTGTTTCTCTACTTCACTTGTAAACATGTTCTGGCTCCCTAATTATTCCTAAAAGGATTATCAAAATGGGACCCTTAGCCCATCACAACAAGCTCATCAGCTATCTATGTCTCTGTCCTTTTCTATCACAATGTGAGGAATGAAAGTGAATCTAGGAAGACACAAAGAATTGAGCACAATTCCTTTCCCCTTGTAGTAACCCAAATTCTGGTCAGGTGTGATCAGGGACGGGTAATGGAGAAGCTTTAACTAGGAAGAAAGACTGATATTTTTATATTAAGTTTTAATGGCTCTTTTATGAAAATAAGACTGTCATTGACACTTAAAGTCACCTAGAAAGCTATGGAATCTATATGAACCATTGCCAGAGTTAAAGAAAAGAGAACCCACTTAATTCAGTTTAAAAGATGTGGTCAAAGGAAAACAAAGTTGGTTCTTACCTTTACCCTAGTAAATCCCACTTATTCCATAAATCAGTCAAATACCAGAATGACAGAAAAATGGAACTATGCTAATTCACTTACAAGCAGTTTACAGTGGTTAATACTTGGATCACTTTTAAAAAGATAATACACCTGCCAAGCTGTCTACAAATATATTAATAATGAACCAAATATCTATATACCTGTTTCTACTTGAAAATCCAGTCTCTGAAAAATACGTATAAAATCCAAATGCAACTGTTTAAATTCAAACGTAAAAGCATGTAAGGTTTCAGGTTTTAAATTATCCCACTCATAAGCCATGCTGTTATCATGCATAATTCGTGAAGAATTATTGAGAGATATTGACACTGAAATGTCATTGGAAGACAGTACACTCCAGTTAAAGGAAACACTCGTACTGGTTGCTATTATTTTGACATTGCTAGTTGAGAATCCACCTAAAAAAATCAGGGGTGATAATTAGCGGGATTCAAGTGAAACTGAATGAAACCAGAGGATAATTGAATTACAAAAACTTCATCACCACAGTAAAACATATTAGCTACTATAAAATATTTTCTAGACTATATGGGAGTTTCTAGTACCCTAGTCAGAATGAATGAATTCAATTACAAATCCACATTATAATTTTTTAAAATAAACTGGGTTACATGTAGCAGCCCCATTATGCCCATCTATTCATATTAGTGTACAGCAGATGTCAGCACTGAAAATCTTATTCTTACCTTAGTTTAAAATTTCCTTTAAATTTTGAAATTTACGTTACATTTAAGAAAAGAAAACACTACCATAATGATATGATTTTGGACTACCATCATATGCCTGTTAAACACTGTAAAATTCAAATTATCTGGTTTCACAAATGTTTTCCCTCTTATAATTAGGTAATACAGTTGAATAACACATACATATTACTTACGGGTTTTAAAGGACTTTTCACTTAAAATTCGTCCATATTTTATAGACTCTATAGTGATGTGATAGTCTTCATTTTCCTCTAGTGTTATTATTGATTTCGGAAGCTTTTGTGGGTCTGCAAGAATGCTCTTGACATTCTATAAATAATTAGATTCATCTGCTAAGCCACGCAGAGAAAGACAAGTATCAAATGATTTCACTCATATGTGGAGTATAAGAACAAAAGAAAACTGAAGGAACAAAACAGCAGCAGAAGCACAGAACCCAAGAATGGACTAATAGTTACCAAAGGGAAAGGGACTGGGGAGGA